CTTGTACACGCCAGCAAGCATTGCGAGACAACAAAATGGCGGCGCCCTGTCGCCGAATGTAAACAAACCGCGCGATTGCATAAACGCTTATCTATGGCATGGAACACCAAAATCCGATAAATAATTTTAAAAAATATGTTTCTCTGGAAAAAAACCGGAGGTTTTCAGGATTTTTAGGAAAGGGACACTTTCATCTCTGGTTAAAAATGATTGAATAGAGAAGATTATTGTCTGTGTCAGTGTAAAGTAAATAACACTTTAGCAAGCAATAATGTATGACTTCTGAGAAAGTGACTAGCAGAAGTTTGCATAGTAGAGAAGAAAGGATTTTAATGTGAAGCTTACAATACATAATAACAAGTCACAAACCTGGAAGTTAAAAAAAATATATTTTCTGGTATGTTTGAATAAATTATGGGTGAAGAGATAAGTACACACAAAATTCTTGAAACCTGGATAGCAGTTCCTGGTTATAGAAAATTAACTCTATTTTGGCAGATAATGAAACTGGTTTTCTGAAATAAATTCCTTGAAACGTAACAGAATAAGTTCCAATTAAAGTGCATCTTCTTTCTTTAAATTTTTACAATTGAAGATGTAATGGCAGTTGGCTTATCATCTGTTTAAGAACTGATTTTCTTAACATAATGGCAAAAGATTTTAGCATTATAAGATGGATTTCTTCTTTGTAATGGATAATGGTGTGGAATAAAACTAGAGGTAGAACACAACATGGCATTATATTAGATAGTGGCTGATAATACTACTGGGTGGAATAAAACTGGAGGTAGACACAACATCGCATTATATTAAATAGTGGCTGATAATACTACTGGGTGGAATAAAACTGGAGGTAGACACAACATCGCATTATATTAAATAGTGGCTGATAATACTACTGGTGTTGTAGGTCTTAGCATTACAGTGTTCTTTTATTCAACTGCAGAGTCTACTAGTTGTTGATCCAAAGTATGTAACAGAAATAGTATTTACAACATTTTAATAAAAAAACATTGTAGATTTAGTTGCCACAAAGAAACACATTTGGTCATGAATGTTTGGGAATATTATTTTTTATTTTGCTGAAAATGTCTTCATCTGCATACATGTGTAATGAAGTTAACGTATTTATGTTATAGCTTGTTAAGTGCAGTTATGTGACTTGGACTACAAAACACACTATATTCTCTTCAGTAATTGATTTTTCAGAATATCTGTTTTTGTCTGTTTACAGCCCCAGCCTTAGATGTAGACTGGCAAACCAACACCAGCTTTGCATCTTGTTCAACAGACCAGTGTATTCATGTTTGTAAGTTAGGAATGGACAAACCAACCAAAACCTTCACAGGTCACACGGTAATCAAATGTCTGCCTTTTAGAAGCTTTACTTTTCTTTGATTTTTGTGGAATTTTGTTAAATTTTACGCAGACAAAAGAAAATCTGTAGTTAAAAATGTTTCTTATATTATAAATAATAAAATTTAACATCTTTGACTTTTTATCTTTCCTTCCATAATGTGTGTTTTGTTAATGTGTAAGTTAAAAAAAAAAAACCTGAATGAAGGCATAATTTAACCCAATATGTTCAAGTGTATGGTGAGATGTAATGGTGCTTTGTAGTACTTAAAGTACTCAGTAGCATGGTGTATCTTATTGGCTGATAGTTAATTGCAAATGATATACATATAGTAAAGAAATTAGTATTTCCCTAAAAACCCTCACATTTAAAGATTTTACACAAATGTATACATATAAAAATATTTTTTTGTAAAAAATATTGAAATAGCTTAGCACTTTTAGCAAAACAGGAACTTAATTTACAAAAGCAAAATAAAGTTTGCAGAAAATAGTATAATGAAATCAAAAATTTCTGGAACAAGTGGAAGACTATTGTTCTATTACTTAAACAGTCAGAAATTTTAATGTTATAGCTCAAAGGGCAAAATAAAGCTGTTATTAAAGGTTTCATTCCTGATAGTAATGCCCTCAGTGATTTTTCTGTGCTCACAGTTAAGTATTTAGAAAGTAACCTCTGTAATGAAAGAGACACCTTTGTCACAACAGAAAGAAGTATTGTGTGATCCTTGTAGTTGGTAATTATATATTCATTTTGAATCTTATGAATATACTTTTTAGCCACATGTTTTGCAAGTCAGTCTACATACAGCATTTTTCAAGGGTGTGAGAGTTTTAGGGTAATAAGCCATATATAGTTTTTATGAAGATCTTTGTTTCTGAGAGGAGCAGTATTTAAAAATTTTGTGAATTTCATGTGTTTCAAATTAGTTTTCTTTTATCAAATTTTGATAAAATGAATTGTAAGTATTTGGGGAAAAACTGAATGCCATGTTTGTGGATTAAAAGGTATTTATTTCACAACTAACTAAACTTCAGTAGTGAATTAACTGAAGATTATTTAATAATGTGTAACAGATATACAAACAATGAAAGATCATGTAAATTGAAACAAGTTTTATAGTGGAATAAAATTTGTGTATGTTAGAAATTTTGCTGGAGTATTCATATTATGATGAGCAAGGAAAGGTCAGTTAAACATGTTGTACAATGTTAAGTTTTAAGTTTAATACTAATGGACACCTATGTTTTAATTTTTTGCTTTTAGAATGAAGTCAATGCTATTAAGTGGGATCCTCAAGGTTCATTATTAGCTTCATGTTCTGATGACATGACTTTGAAAGTAAGTAAATATTACTGAACGTTTTATTAGTCTTAGTGCAGACTAGTTGTATTTTAATTTCAACTATTATAACTGTAGAAGAGTTTTTAAGAGTGGTGATCAAGTCAACATTCTGATCAGAAAAATATTTTTTAGACCCAAATACAGCTTAGTTAGGAAGCCTGATAAATTAGTGGAATTTTGTGGTATTGGTGTAGAAATGTTATTTCAAAATGCATATATAAAATGTACAAAACACTTTTTTTAAATCCTCCTCGTGCAAAATTCAACGAGTCTTAGCAAGTACGGCAAGTGAGTACAAGAACTTTGTAACACTGTAAGTAGTAGAGATTATTATTTTCTATATATTTTTTATTTACTCTTCTATGGCTTAAGAAAAATAACTGAAATTTAAGAATTTGAATAGAGTAATAATGTATATACATATGTAATACATGGTAACCAGAATGTCTGTATTTTACAAAATACAGTAAGAGTAAAGAGTAAAGGCCAGTTTTATGCTATTTGATATGGTAACATGAGCTGCACATGTGCTATGTGATTTGTAACTTGTGTGGCAGGATTATTAGTTAGACACGGTTCAAAAGTCAATAAAATAAACAAATAAATATAAATAGATGAATACTGTTATTAGATTTAAGCTACTTAGAATAAACATTTGTGGTTTTTTGTTACAATTTGCAGTCATTCTAGAAAGCAAATAAAAGGGTAATTTAGATTGATTTCCTAATTTTTTGTGATGGTTACTAGGTTGGTCATATCAAACAACCCTATATGGAATTAAGGTACAGAAAATAACAGATAAGATCAAAAATTTTCCAAAAAAATGTTTGATATTTATTAAGAGGTTATAGAGATTATGCAAAAGAAATTTGACAATTGTCAGATAAAGAAAAGTATTTTTGATCTTAAAGTCAAAATTACTCTGCATGTTGGATAGTCAACATTCTGTAAGAAAAATCTTGATATTTTGTGCACAAATGCCTCATAATGTTTACTGGTAGTTTGTGACATTTCGTGAAGATACACATACATTATCAAAAGTTTTAATATGTCGTCTCTCATGGTTACTTAGTGGTTACGTAGTAAGTGCAATACACTAAGTCCTGTGGTCAAAGAATTAATGCTCGTTCTTCATCATTTAATGTATATTGAGTAAATAGTTGATAACCTGCTGTATCCAATGATGTTTAAACTTTGCATATAGTTATTTTCAAAACTTTGCTTCATGTGTAATTATTCAGACCACATAATGTGATATATAAAGGGGAGGGAAGGAAAAGCTGTATACCAGTTACAGAGGAACAAAATTGTGATAAACAAGAGATGGATAATTATGTTAAGAATAAATGGGAAAGGATTTCAAAATCATATTTTCTGTAAATTGGAAATGTTTACAAAAGTTGATCTAAATAGGTAAGAGATATTGTTCAAATGCAATGATGTGGTTATATGTGACAATTATAAAAAAATAAATTTAACACTATTAGTACTGCAGAGTACTTTTCAATAATTATTTGTTTAGAAATTTAACCAAAAATAATTCTAACTATTTTATCAATTGTTAACTCTTTCAGCACGGGTTCTGCCACTGGGACTGACCTCGTAACTATTTTGTGCTCGTTATAGTTTCATGCTATAACTTTTAAATTAATAAGTGTATGTTAATAAATTGTGGCAGATTATCAGTAAACATTACAATGCTTTCAAATGCAAAATATCAAATTTTTTGAGAAAGCCTTAAGTTTTGTAAAGCAATGTTTTTCTCATGCCTTTTTCTTTTCTTTTCGCATGTTACCTATCCAACATGCAAAGTAATTTTCACTTTAAGATTAAAAATACTTTCATGCATCAGAAAATGTATAAATTTCACATGCGAAATCTTTATAATGTCCAGATAGATATCAGACGTTTCTTAAGAAAAACTATATTTTATCAGTTATTTTCATTAATGAATCTCTTTATGGGTTTGGTAGATTTGACCAATCTTGTAACCACCATAAAAAATGAGGAAATAAATATAGATTATGCCTCTCTAATTCTAGAATGACAATAAATTATAATACGAAAACATAAATGTTTAGACTAAATAGCTTAAATCTCATAACACTATATATTTATTATTTTTATTATATTGACTTTTCAGCCGTGCCTAGTTAACAATACAGAAGTTACAATGACGTGGCACACATGCACTCATGTTAACATATTCAATAATGTAAAACTCACATTTAGTCTTTATAAAGTAACTTGTCTTGGCTATTTTAGTAGACTATTATTTTGTAAAATACAGTCACATTTTAATTATTATACATTGTACATGTATATATAGATTATTGCTATTTAGAAATAAGCTCTTAAACTTATTTTTCTTAAACATAGAACAGTAACTAAAGAAGTAAAGCAAACAATTATCTCTTCTAGTTATGACCTTTGTACTTGGTTGCTACTTGACATTGGTTGCCAAGTCTTTTAAAATTTTGCACATGGAGGGATTTTTTTAGGTTTTATATATACAGTTGAATAACCAAAAAAATAGTAAATTACTATATCAGTACCATAGAATTCTACTATAATTTATCAACCTAAGTAACTAAGCTGTATTTCAGTCTAAAAAATATGACATTTCAGCAGACACAACCTACGTCCTTGAAATCTTGGTTCAAAAAGAAAGAGATGGCATCCTAAGAATTTAAAATGGCTAAAAAAGCCAGTAAGGGGCATTTTTAGCTTTCGATTGGTTATTCATGTCATATATAGAAATAAGTGTATATAAGGGAGCATTTACAAAAATGGAAAGAGGTGGTTGGTGCCACTGTGTTTGATTTATTACATGAGCAATATCTTAACAAATAGAAAAGATAAGAGGTTCTTATTTTATATTCTAGCTTGTCAATATCGGTAATTTCCATTTCTTATTCGTACAAAACTATAGATTTAGTATTTTGACATCAGAAGCATCTAATTTGAATCAGTGCTGCATTCAACATACCATATGACACAAAAAAAATCGATGTTTAACTGTTTATTTAATATTTACTTTTAGATTAAAAAATTGAGTAATGTATAATACTAAAATTTGAATTATAATCTATGGTTTGATATCAAATTTATTGACATAAATTCATGAAATAATAGTTCACTATAATTTGACATGGCATTTCACCCGTGACCTGTCTGTAAATGGTTAAAAGGAGGAGTAACATTAGCCAATTTCTAATCATTTGGCATCTGCCCACTGTTCAAGGACTTATAGAAAATATTAGCAAGTGACTTATATCCAATCCCTAACCTCCTTCAAAACCCTTTTGAAAAATTATCAATGTTAAACTGTTTATTTAATATTAACTTTTAAATTAAGAAATTGAGTAATTTATAGTACTAAAATGTGAATTATAATCTACAGTTTGATACCAAACTTAT